CCCAGGCCATCAAGTCTGCCGGAGGGGAAAGGGTGTTGCCCCATTCGCCCTCTCCTCTCTGGAAAGAAAGATGGCGGCCACATGGGAGCCTTGTGGACAGCAGGTATGAGCTGGGAGTGTGTGGGCGACTAAAACCTCATGGGAAGGGGGGCGTTCCGGTCCGTCCTTCACGCCCTACCGAGGTCACCAGTTGCCCCCCACGAGCGGCTCTCCAGCACGGCCACAGCCCCAGAAGCACAAGGGCTTAATGCAGAACCCAGCAGCTTGGAGCAGAAAAGTGAAAGGACTATGCGTTAATCCAGGCAATCATTTCTGCCCAGAGGGGAAAGGGTGTTGCTCCCTTCCGCCCTCCTCCCTCTGGAAAGAAAGATGGCGGCCACATGGGAGCCTTGTGGACAGCAGGTATGAGCCGGGGGTGTGGGGGCGACTAAAACCTCATGGGAAGGGGGGTGTTCCGGTCCGCCCTACCGAGGTCACCAGTCGCCCCCCACGAGCGGCTCTCCAGCACAGCCACGGCCCCAGAAGCACAAGGACTTAATGCAGAACCCAGCAGCTTGGAGCAGAAAAGTGAAAGGACTATGCGTTGACCCAGGCCATCAAGTCTGCCGGAGGGGAAAGGGTGTTGCCCTATTCGCCCTTTCCTCTCTGGAATGAAAGATGGCGGCCTCATGGGAGCCTTGTGGACAGCAGGTATGAGCCGGGAGTGTGGGGGCGACTAAAACCTCATGGGAAGGGGGGCGTTCCGGTCCGTCCTTCACGCCCTACCGAGGTCACCAGTTGCCCCCCACGAGCGGCTCTCCAGCACGGCCACAGCCCCAGAAGCACAAGGGCTTAACGCAGAACTCAGCAGCTTGGAGCAGAAAAGTGAAAGGACTATGCGTTAATCCAGGCAATCATTTCTGCCCAGAGGGGAAAGGGTGTTGCTCCCTTCCGCCCTCCTCCCTCTGGAAAGAAAGATGGCAGCCACATGGGAGCCTTGTGGACAGCAGGTATGAGCCGGGAGTGTGGGGGCGACTAAAACCTCATGGGAAGGGGGGCGTTCCGGTCCGTCCTTCACGCCCTACCGAGGTCACCAGTTGCCCCCCACGAGCTGCTCTCCAGCACGGCCACAGCCCCAGAAGCACAAGGGCTTAATGCAGAACCCAGCAGCTTGGAGCAGAAAAGTGAAAGGACTATGCGTTAATCCAGGCAATCATTTCTGCCCAGAGGGGAAAGGGTGTTGCTCCCTTCCGCCCTCCTCCCTCTGGAAAGAAAGATGGCAGCCACATGGGAGCCTTGTGGACAGCAGGTATGAGCCGGGGGTGTGGGGGCGACTAAAACCTCATGGGAAGGGGGGCGTTCCGGTCCGTCCTTCACGCCCTACCGAGGTCACCAGTTGCCCCCCACGAGCGGCTCTCCAGCACAGCCATGGCCCCAGAAGCACAAGGACTTAATGCAGAACCCAGCAGCTTGGAGCAGAAAAGTGAACGGACTATGCATTGATCCAGGCCATCAAGTCTGCCGGAGGGGAAAGGGTGTTGCCCCATTCGCCCTCTCCTCTCTGGAAAGAAAGATGGCGGCCACATGGGAGCCTTGTGGAAAGCAGGTATGAGCCGGGGGAGTGGGGGCGACTAAAACCTCATGGGTCGGGGGGCGTTCCGGTCCGTCCTTCACGCCCTACCGAGGTCACAAGTCGCCCCCCGCGAGCGGCTCTCCAGCACGGCCATGGCCCCAGAAGCACAAGGACTTAATGCAGAACCCAGCAGCTTGGAGCAGAAAAGTGAACGGACTATGCGTTGATCCAGCCCATCAAGTCTGCCGGAGGGGAAAGGGTGTTGCCCCATTCGCCCTCTCCTCTCTGGAAAGAAAGATGGCAGCCACATGGGAGCCTTGTGGACAGCAGGTATGAGCCGGGAGTGTGGGGGCGACTAAAACCTCATGGGAAGGGGGGCGTTTCGCTCCGCCCTTCACGCCCTACCGAGGCCACCGGTTGCCCCCCGCGAGCGGCTCTCCAGCACGGCCACGACTCCAGAACACAGAAACCAATTTCTTAACTATCTGACTTTCAGTAGAAATACTTCCAGGGTCAATAGGTAAAATAGCAGAAATCCAAAACCAACATTTAATTCTTGAACCTAGCTCTAGAAAGCAAATCACTTCACAATGCTTTTTCAGCATGTCTGATTTGGGGGGGGGGGGGTGGGGTGGTAAACTCTAAATAATAGTGGTGAATCTTTTATTGAAACAATGAATCTAATCAAAGCAGATAGAGTGTTAACTAGAATTCATCTGCCTCACAGGGACGGGGAGGGGTGGGGGGTGCATTTTATTGGGGTTCTTCATGGTAAAAAATAAGTATTGGTAAAGGGAAATGTGTTTGATATTTGCATGACTGAGACATAAACCTGAAAGCTTTGTAACCTTTCCCACAGTGATTCAATAAATAAATAAAAAAAAAGATAAAAAAATAGAAAAAAAAAACTTAAAAAAAAAAACCTGAATCAGCTGCATACATGGCAAGTTCCCTACTGTACTATTGCTCTGACCCAAGACCACCACACTTCTTATTTTTAAAATTTTTATTATATATATGCATATTATGTATAGATATTTCAGTATAAAATATGCTTTTACCATAAATGCAGTTTTGGAGAGGAGTTCTCCCCAGGGGTGCTCAGGGCCTGGAGCTCACTCCCATGGATACTTTACCTGGACCTGATAGTTTGGCATTGGAGCCTGTGGCACTGAGGATTGAATTCTGGGCCTTGAGAATGTACACAAGACATCCCTTTGAGTTTTCTGCCCAACCCCATAAATTTCCAGTTTATTGTTTAGTAGATTCTATATGTTTTTCCTTATTAGATCTGAATGTCACATATGTTACATGTGAGGGTACATACTATACAGAACAATAATAGTGGGGCCCTTGCCTTTTTTCACGTATTTTTTCCCATAAATACCTTTTACTAATATCGTTTACTTTGTTGTAGTAGAGTGTGATCAACATTTGCACTTAACTTGTGGCTTGGCCTCTTGGCTTAAGAAATATGTAGAGGTTGGAGTGATAGCACAGCGGGTAGGGTGTTTGCCTTGCATGCGGCCAACCTGGGTTCGATTCCCAGCATCCCATATGGTCCCCTGATCACCTCTAGGAGTAATTCCTGAGTGCAGAGCCAAGAGTAATCCCTGTGCATCGTTGGGTGTGACCCAAAAAGAAAAATATGTAGAGAACAGTAGAAATTCTTAATGGTCTGTCAGGAATAAGAATGTTTTCTCGTTGAAAGATGAAAAGAGAATGTGGTATCTCCTTATTATATCTATCTTGTTATCTCCTTGTAACAAAGCATACAGAAGAGTCACAGTTAGTAGAACTAGTCATGCTATTTGTAGAAACTAGATATCCTAATAGTAAGATTGTTACTCTGTTAGCGAATAAATCACTAAATAAAGTTAATCTATTTAGGACTGTAAACGTAGTCCAAGATGGGCTGAAGTTTGACTGTGTTTCATTGTGAAAGTTTATCTTTCAGTATCTATGATCCTAGCCCATTTTATATTAAAGAAAGCTTCTAGGAAAGCAGGAAAACAGGACTACAGGATCAACATGTAATTTTCCTAAATTCTTACTCAGCATATTAAATGCTTTATTTGAAATACTAGTTTTGCCATTATAGAAGCAGTATACACAAAGTGAGGCTCTAGAATATTTTACAAAGGCATAGGACTTATCTTTTGCTGTCTCATGCTTTTTGTAATTCTAGATACAGAAATACTAATATTGATACTAATACTAATATAAGTACTAATAAGTAAGTTTTAATCTAGATGTAAGAACTTTACAAGTTTTGAGGATTCAAGAATTTTTGCAAGGTTTTTTTTTTCTTTTTGGGCTGCACCAAGAAGTGCTCAGAGTGGTACTCCCAGGATTGTGCTGGGGAGACCATTTGGGACATGGGATTGAACTCAGGGCTCCTGCATTTAAAACACATTCCAGCCCTCTTAATATCTCTACAGTTCTAAACTTGGTAAGGTTTGTGTAATGTCTTTTTCCATTGAAAATAGCTTTTATCAATTATTTTTAATTTGTTAGAGAATTTGTTAGTAATTAAACTCATTCTGGGGCTTGGTTGTGGCTGAGGGGTAGAATATGTGCCTCATCTCCTTGGGTTCAATTCTTGACAATGAGAAAAATAAAAGTGCCATGTTCAAACTCATCATGATTTTTTAAAATTGAATCTCAGACACAGTTACAAAGTTGTGCATGATTGGGTTTCATTAAATTAGTATTTTGAATTATTATGATGAGATCTTTGTATTGAGATTAAAATGAACTTCAGACTCCTAGACTGTCTTTGTGTTTAGTCAGTAGATAAACTTTATTATCTATTGTGGTATTTACAACTTATAATTCAGTTTCATAATCCTTAATTTAGAAACTTCAAAGTTTATGTACACACATGGGAGGGAGAAGAGAGAGAGAGAGAGTGTGTGTGTGTGTGTGTTGCGTGCGTGTGTGTGTGTGTGTGTGTGTGTGTGTGTGTGTGTTTTGGGGTCATACTTGGCTGTGTTCAGGGTTTACATCTGGCTCTGTGCTCAGGGAGAGATTGGGAGACTGGGAGACTGGTGATCAAATCTGGGTTAGAGGCATGCAAGGCAAGTGCCCTGACCTCTGTCCTCTGTACTGTCGTTTCAACCACAGCATCATGTTTTTTCCCTCCCATTTATTTATTTTTTTGTTTTTCCAAATCATTGATAAGCAGTGTCAGATATGTAAAGAGAAGTAAATATTAGCTATCTTTAATTTTGTAAACAAACTTTTTCCATTATAGAACTAGTGCTTAATTTTAATGCTTCAGCATAATAAAGAATTAGTAATTATATAGAGACTAAAATTTTGGAGAATAGCTCAAGGGAGTTAATTATAGTATAATTAGCAAGAGATTCTTTTTAAATGCTGGTTAAGGGGGGATTATTGCTTACCCAGAAGATTTGACCTTGTGATTTACTTGTTCTTCTCCAAGGCACTTGAGAGAAAAGACAACGATAGCAGTTACATCTAGAGGCTATTATGGATTGGAGGATGAAAAGGGAACTGCATGTACTTCAACAAGGCGCCGGTCAACATCACGAAGTTTGGCAGGCTTGACAAGTGGAGTTTTTGAATCTATAATGGTTCAAGTTTTGAGACAGGAAGAGCAGCTGAGAGCAAAAGAAGAAAAAAGGTAAATGTAAAAAAAAAAATTAAAATTCATGTTGTTCAAATTTCTAGAAGCTATTTTTTTAGAGCAGCTTGTATAAATATGTATGCCCATAACAAATTTCTGGATCCAAATGCATTATCACCAATGTATCAGTTCATAATGTAATATTGTGAAACTTGTTTTATAATATTTTAAACACTAAACCAGATTATTTGAAGCTACAAATAATAATAATAAGTAAAGTAAGTAAAGGCCCTCCCGTTGATCATCTATTTGCTCGAGCGGGCCCAGTAACGTCTCCATTGGAGACTTTGTTGTTACTGTGTTTGGCATATCGAATACGTCACGGGGAGCTTGCCAGGCTCTGCCGTGCGGGCGAGATACTCTCGGTAGCTTGCCGGGCTTTCCGAGAGGGGCGGAGGAATCGAATTCAGGTTGGCCATGTTGGCTGCGTGCAAGGCAGACGCCCTACCGCTGTGCTATCGCTCCAGCAATATGTTTAAATAATTTCCAAAAAGTTTCTAGATTTCTAGAAGTATTAAGTGAATTACAAGTTTTAAATTAGCTGTGTTTTATATAGATTTGTATAGTTTTGCAATAGAATTACAGAATCTAAAGATGGATTAGTGGTAGAGAACTTGCCTTGCATTTATGAGACCCTCGGTTCAGTTTTTAGCACTGCAAAAAAAAAAAAAGTAAATAGAAGAGCAGAATAGAGTCAGAGATTTAAAATCAGGGATGACTGTGCAGAGATTATTTGTTCAAGATGGTAACAAGTTCTTATCTGCCACTTTCGTCATTGGTATTAATTTTCTGGAGATCTTTGCTTACTCTAGGCTTATCAGGAAAGAATCCTGTTTTAGGGCCTAGGAATATATGTTTATAGTACTTACATAACATTTTATTTATAACAAAGATTAGGATCCAGAGACTTAAGCGATCACTTAAAAAACTGATAATTTTTATATTAAGTCAAATCTTAATCTTTGTTGTGAGTGACTGCTGATATAAGAAACTGTGAATCCCTCTCCTATCATCCCCTACGCCTGCAATACTTAGCCTTCCCTAGCTCTTCTGAATCTGACTCCCATATAAAAAATAAAAACATTGGCTAGAGAGATAGTTCAGGGATTAAGGTGCATTTCTTGCATGTGGCCAACCTTGGTCCAATCTCCAGTACCATTTGACTAACACTGGATGCAGTCTTGGAGGCGTGCCTAAGGTAATTAACCCCTAGCATGGCAGGGCCTGAGCAATACGGCATAACATCGAACTACCAGTCCTATTTTCTAGTTGACCTAGAATTGCTGGGAGGAGCTCAGACTCCTGAGCACTGCATGTGAGTCTCTGCCCCTCCTTCTCAATTAAAAAATAATATCAATTTAAAGACTTTCTACTATCTTATCGTTCCTTGAAAAATTTTTTTTTGGCATTCTCCCTCAGTGGTATTTTGACTTGATTATGTCATTCTCCCTCAGTAGTGTTCTGGCTTGCAGTGCTCAAATCCAGTGTGTTTTTTTAATAGTGATTAATTGGGAAACCAGAAAATTATGGAATACTTACTTTCTTTGAGCAGAGCCTTAAAGCACCACTTCTGTTATAGGGAAGGGATTTAATGGATTGATCTGACAGTATGTAATGGATAGGGGTGGGGAACAAAACGAAAAGGACGGTTTGTAGGAAGAAAGTTATATCTTGACTGCTGCTGCTGGCCACCAAAAACATAGAGATGTCAGATTATTCTTGGAGAAATTGCCTGGATTTAGTATCTTTCTTGACATAAGAGCGTTAAAGGAAAAGACAATAAGAAGTAATAGTATTACAATGATTTTTTGTTTGTTTTGGGGTCACACCTGGCAATAGTCAGGGATTATTCCTGACTCTGCACATAATAATTACTCCTGGTTATGCTTAGGGGACCATATGGAATGCTGGGGATCAAACTTGGGTTGGCCGTATGCAGGCTAGCATCCTACCTGCTGTACTCTCTCTCCAGCCCCAGGATTAGGTTTTTTTGTTTTTGTTTTTAAAATGGTAGCATATATTGAGCACGACTTAGTTGGGTTTAGTTCTGAATATCTTAAATGTATTTGTTTATCCAGAGGCGCAGAAATTAAATAATTTACTAAGGTTAGGCATATTTTGAGTGGTTATGATAAGATTTGAAACAAGAACTAATAGGCAGTTTGACTCTAGAACTCATAATCATGCATAATAGGCCATCCTTGTTATCTGTAAATAATGGCACCGGGATTTTTTTTTTTAAAAAAAACAAATGAGAAAAAAAAATACCAAAAACCCAGAGAACAAGTCCATGATGCGGAGAAAGGTCAGTAAATTCCAGTTTTTAATTTTTTTTTAAGTGATGAGGGGAAAATCTAATGTAGAATGGCTATATGGAGAGCTAGGGAGATGGCTCAAAGGGATGGATGGAGTTCCATTTTTTCATGTATCATGTGCCCCAAGAACCATTTGGGAGGCCTCTTCCCCCACCTTGAAAAAAAAGAATAACTGGTAGGAAATTGAAAAAAATCTGAATTGCTTCTCCAATTTTGCATTTATGTGTCCTCTACTTATCATTAATAAACAGGCAAAATAAGATGTTAGAGGAAAATTCTCCATTAAGTATCTTGCCAAAAATTCAGTGAAGTTATAAGAATTAAAATAATCTCTTTTGGTATAGTTAAATCTTTCTTTACTTTTTAAAATTTGGGGGTACTCTAAAGTGGTGCTCAGGAGATCAGGAGCGAAGGAGGTCTTCAGCAGTTCTCAGCCAGTCCAAGAAACAGAGGCAGTGCAGTGTCAGGGTACTGTTTGTTTGTTGTTCAGGGTCACTATCCACCTCTCCCCCCAAGTCAGGACCCCTGTGGAGTGGATGGCCATTATGTGGCCATACATTTCTTCACCTCTTCATATCTCACTGTGAGATACAAAGATATCCCAACTTCAGTCACCTTGCCACAGAACAACATACAAGAAGCACCCCCAGCAGCAAAAAGTCACCCCACCATGCTTAGTGAATGAAAATGGTAGCCCTGGAGACAACCGATAATAGCAAGTTCTGTAACCTCTCTGATAAGGACTTTAGAAAGGAGATATTGAGGATCTTGAAAGAGCTCAAAGAAATAAGTGGAACAGACCAGTAAACTGAGCAGAAATGAGAAAACTACAAACAGAAATAACAGAAAACTGAGGAAGTTCAGTGGTGTCGGAGGTCTTCCTTTTATCTAAGGATTGCTGTTTTTACCCCCCTGCCTGTGAAGTGGAAAAAGAAGGGGAGGTTAGCTACCCTGACTTGACGCTGTCAAACCACAATCCCAGAACATGGAGGAGTTTCAGGAGGAGGTTCAGCAGCTCTGGGTTGGGGGTCCTGCTGTTTGCTCAGAATCACCATTTTGCCCCCAGGTCAGGGTTGTACCCCACCCACAAAAAGCATGGGAGCAGAGTATAGTGGAGCACTTGTGCATATCTTCACCTCTCCATAACTCACTGTAAATATACGAAGACAACCTAACTATAGGCACCTAACCACACAACATCAAAGTAGAAAGGACTCCAGACTGCAAAGGTCTCAATGGTGAAGTAATGCAGAACCCCACCAGGTTTAGTGAGTGAAGATAATGCTAGCCTCCTCGAAGACTCAACCAGTAATAATGAGCTAAATAGTGAGCTTACTCTCTCTGATAAGGAATTTAGAGAGGAATTGTTGAGGATGTAAAAGGTGATCAAAGAAACAATGGAATGGACCACCAATAAAACAAGTGAGTGAACTACAGACAGAAATGACAGATCTGAAAAACTTAATAGGTGAAATGAAAAACTGACTGGAAGGCCTCAGCAGCAGAATAATAGCTGCTAAGGACAGTGTCTTGCAAGACGAGGTTCAGAAAATAATAGCTGCTAAGGACAGTAACCTCCAAGATGAGGTCCCGAAAACCTCCAGACGGGCTAGAACAAAAGCACAGTGGGCAGGGCATTTGCCTTGCATGTGGCCGACCCGGGTTTGATTTCCAGCATCCCAGATGATCCCCCAGGCACCGCCATGAGTAATTCCAGAGTGCATGCATAGCTGGGTGTGACCCAAAAAGCAAACACACACACACACACACACACACACACACACACACAAAAAGAAAAAAAAGAAAAAAGAAAAATCTCCAGACAACAGCAGAAGATGAGAAAAAGCCTCAAAAATACATCAGAAGATCACAGAACTTTGGGATGAATTCATGAGGAACAACATAAGACTCATTGGGCTTCCAGAGGGGCAGGAAGAAAACCTTGATAAAGAATCTTCATTGCCGAAGAGTGCATGCACCCAGATTCAGGAGGCCCAAAGTGTCAGCTAAAAGAAATCCAAATAAAAATACTCCAAGACACATCCTCATCAAAATGATGAAAACTAGAGATAGAATTCTGAAAGCAGCAAGATCAAAGACCACATTGATTTCAGAGTGAAGAAGGTCACAAGAGACAGTGAAAGCCATTTCTTATTGATTAAGGGATCTGTACAACAGGAAGAAATTACAATAGTAAATGTATATGCACCTAATGAGAGACCAGCAAAGTACTTAAAACAACTACTCATAGACTTGGAGAAAGACATTGATAGCAACACAGTGCTAGTTTTTTACATCATTTTATCACCTCTCGATAGATCAATCAGACTCAAGCTTAGGAAGGACATACTTCATCTGAGGGGGGAAAAAAAGGAAGAAAGGGACTTAGTAGATATATACAGGACACTTCACCCTCAAAAAACTAAATACAAATTTTTCTCAAGTGTGCATGGAACATTCTCCAAGATAGACCACAAATAGCCACAAAACATACCTCCATAATATTAAGAGGATAGAGATTGTATCAACAATCTTCTCAGACCATAATGCACTGGAATTAGAAGTAAATCACACACACAAACAGAAAACTAAATCAAACACCTGGAAATTAAACAGTTCACTTTTGGACAACGAGTGGCTTAGAAAGCAAATCAAAGAGGAAATCATAAGATTCCTGGAAAT